GCAATAAAGCGAAGCGCAATAAAATGAGGTATGCCTGTATTCTCCATGGTAAAGTCTCCCAAACTGCAGTGGCTTGATCAATGATGCTTTGCAGCCTCTTGTTCATCACATGGTGCCATCTCTTTTCCTGGTTTTTATTTCAGAGAACCAAAACTCATGGAAGGTGGAAGTGAAAAGAAAAGCAGAAGTAGACTGTGCAATTAATTCTGTCTAGATATAGATGCCACAAGGATACTATGCAAGACAAGCATGGGAGAGGTAAGCTGGAGTGACACCAATCACTTTTTAAACTAAGGCTGCATGCACATTTACAGTTTGTGGCCCACTAGTGCGTAAAAGGTTTGTGCCCACTAGTGCATAAAAAGAAAGTTTTTTTCAGTGTTAGAGCAGGGCTGGAGTGTTGCTGTAGCCCTGATGGTCTAGGAAGCGTGCAGAAGGCAAGGATTGTGCACGATATCTTTTACTGGACCACCTGCACAGCTAGGGGAGCTGCTGGATGTGCTTTCACACCTCTTCAGGCTGCTGGATGAGCTTCCTCAGGTCACCATTGCTCAACTTGCTCAGCTATTATTTCCTTAAGTTTAAAAATAATAACTATTTAAAATAACTATTAAATAATGGCTCAGGAGCAACACATTATTTTTCACTAACAGGATACCCAAGCTTTATGAAAGCAGTGTGCACTAAGTGGATGTGGTATCACACTAGGCTTCTCCTTAATAACGGGAAAGGAGAATATATGGGGGACAGAGGGTGGAAAGATCTCCAAAACTAAACCCAACTAACTTGCAACTCCAAAGGGGAGTGATCATGTAGATTGCAGGGGTCTTCATAGTATGAAGCTTCCTCTCTTCCATACTTTGAGAAGCTAAAACATTGTAAAAAATGCTGACATTTAAGATGTTGCTTGTATCTGGAGTGAACACACCTATTGAAACAAACAAACACAGTACACACCTCTGAGCTATTGTTTAGGACTCCCTGCAAGCCTCACTACATTAGCTAACCTCAAAAACATGACCTGAGTGCACAAGTGAAAATCTAAATAAAAGTTAGACTTGTGAAAGACAGTTGTGTGGTCAGTTGTGTAGGCACACGCACATTAAAAAACACTGCTTTGAAACCTGCCAACTTTGTTCCCCAAATCCCTACTGAAGACTAGTAGTTACACGGCATCCTGTAAGGAAATGTGAGGAGACGGCAACTGAAACCTCCGAGTTCTCCTTATTTATAATGCCAGCAGATTTCTTGGTGATTTTATTCCATAGCTTTCAGAAAAACAACAACTTGTTTTTTTTTTGTTTTTTGTTTTTTTTTTTTATTATTATTATTATTATTATTGCCCTGAATTTCTTTTGTAATCAACATATTGTATCTACAGATATTGACAAAAAAATAAAAATATGCAAGTTTATAGTTAGGAAAGGTATCACTATGGAACAAGATTGCATTTAATCCACTCCAAAGCTGTGATGAGCAGAAAGAACCAAATATATTCAGTTAACACTAGTACTGCAGATATGCTCAAGCAATCTGAATTAAGAGCATGATTAATACAGAATGGGTAAGGTGTACCGATCTAAAATTTGATGCATACTTTCTTCTAGATCCTTTATTCCATATAATTATTTGTGCAGCTTGAAAAAAATAACCAATTTAATGCTCTTCAGGAAAAGAAGTCACACTAGTACCTTGTATCCACTAGACACCCAACAATAAGCGTCAGGAAATGTTTTTATTTAAGGCTTAAAAAAAACCAAAAAAAAAAAAAAAAAAACAAACCAAACCAAAAACCCTACAACAAGCAAAAAAGAATATCTAAGATTTTTTTAAATCTTTCAGTGTTGATTTATTAATAGTCACGTCATTTAAAATAGATTTTTGTAAGAGATAATTTTGTGCATTTGTTTACATTTTAAGTTAAATCTGTAAGCTTCATAACATCAGTCACAAATCTTTGGCAACAGGAGGTTACCTAGCGAAGGCATGTGAACGGCAGTCAGGCCTACATCATAACCACACCCTGAGAACAGCAGTAAGGAAACTACTTTGATAGCTGGGTATTCCATTAGGACTCTTGTAATAGACATTTCCCTATTGCATTAGCCAAAGGTCATCTTCTAGCCTGAAACTTCTACTTCCTATTTGCACATTCCTACATACTTTTAATGAAATCGTATGCACCTTGTCATACATATTTTTCTGAGGTGGGAAGCAGCATGTTGCATCTGTTTGCCCAAACCACTGAAACCTAGATTACAGCAGCTGCCAGAAAATCCAGTTAGGACCAGGGGATATTGTATAAGGTATAGTATAAACACAGGGTGCACATCTACATGTTCATTAATACACTTTCGCTAATGTGCATTAAAATTTAGTACCTCCATTGTGAGGTACTAGAAAAAAGGTGCATTAGCCTATTTTAACATACATCAGCAAAAGCACACATTTTTTGTGACACTTTAATGTGCATTAAAACGCACATATGGAAGCAGGTCAGGGATATCAACTCTCATAGGTCGATTTCTTGTCACTTAGAGAATTAACGCATGGTTGTATAATGTCAAAGTGTCACTCCATTTTACAATGAGAAGTGAAAGGCCACCTCACACTCAGTCTTCAACCAGTATTTTTGGCTGACATTTTTCTCATCATTCAGAAGTGGGTTCCTCAAGAGAAAGATGGACACAAGGTATAACAAGAGACTTAGTCCCAGGAAAAATATGAATCCGCAACACAAAGCAAGTGAACAGGAGACCTATAAAAATATATATACACCTCAGAAGCTTTTATTTCAGAAAAATGACATTACCATTTTCATTCTTCAGGACATGGAAGTGACACAGAAATACTGCCTCAGCGCAGACAGCAGAAGCTAGGCAAGACATCCCAAAACATCAGAAACCAAAAAATGGCAGCATTTAAACCTAATAAAATTTGCAGTTCGAGTGGTAAAAGGCCTATGAGAAAAACTTATTCTTCCTCTTCACCTTAATACGACGCCTACCAACAAGTCCAAACAGAATAAAAAAAGATTAAGACCACACTGAATAAAAGTTTCAGGAAAGAAAAGCGAACAAGTAAAAGAGAAAGGAGATCCACAGGCAAAGTAGCCAAAAAACTTTGTGCAAAGCTTATAGTTTTAAAAAGAAAAGATGCTGTCTCCACAGCCAGGTCAGGCTGCTATGCAGTTGCTCCCACGTAGGGCCAGGACATTCATCTAAATATCATCATCACCCTTATTTTCCTCCTTCCCGCATTGACACCCCCTCGCACAGAGGAATAGGGGTCAGGACACCGAGCAATGCCGAGCACGCCCCTCCCAGCAAGAAACCGGACACTTCAGATGTGACAGCCGGGACCCCCACAAGCCGTGCGGCTGCAGGACTCCCGCCGGGACCTCCCAGGCAACCTCCTCCGGACACCGGTGAAACCGGGAGACAGGTTCAGGCTGCCTGTCACTCCTCATGCAGAGATGCACTGCCCCTCGCCTCATCGGGGGGTCCACATCCCCTCCTGGATCTGGTATTAAGAGCCCCCTTCCCTCACGTTTGCGACCCCCCCCAAAAAAACCCAATTGCTTTTTTCTCACCAGCCTCCTTCTTTAAGAGCGACTGACAGCTTTTCTTGGTGGTCCGCGGGCCCTCAGAAGGATCCAGGCCTGAATTCCCCCAAGCCCACCTCCCCAGGGTCCAGACGCGCGGGAAAGGGAGGGACGGACCGGCCCCCACCTGCCCACGGTCTGGTTGGCCAGCTGCTTCATGCGGTTGAACTGCTTCTTCATGATGGCGATAGCTCCAGCTCCGGCTCCTGCCCCACTGCGGGAAACCTGCTGCTACTACTCCTGCCGCCGCCGGCCCGGATGCTCCTCAGCACCGGAGCTCCCTCACACGCCTGACCACGCCCACCGGAAACCCTCGCCCCTACTTCCGGCCCCGCCTCCCCGAGGGGGATGGGGTGCAGAGTGAGTCGCTCTCCTGGGACGCAGGCAGCGACATCCGGGTGCTGGGACTTGCCCGGATGTTGTCGTGAGGGGCGGAAGTGCCCTACTGCCCCGCACGCCGAGGACTCGGATGTGGAGGTGCCTGTGAGCACGTGACGTGGTGGGAGGAGGGCTGTTACTCTTTGATACCACTGCTCAGGGGCTGCGTTGTAAGACATGGTCTTGACCCCCGCCCTGAGCTGAAAGCACGTGAGGAGCGACATGTTTGGGAACAGGCCAAGGATCCCAATTTGCAGCTCAGCACTGCCTGGTCTCCTGACTACCAAACCAGGCCTGGGCAGGGAGGTCATTTTTTATATTCAGCCCTTGCAGCAAGCAAGTCAGTCCCTCAATACAGATTATATCATGGCATGAAGTCCCATGAAAGTGACATCTGCTCCATGCTGGGCTCCGAGGAGACGAGGAAGATGATTTGGGGAGAAGGTGAAGTGTTTGTGACTGCGTGTAACTTGCGCCGCCTAAGAAGCAGAATTCATGTGTCTCCCCCTACTCCCAGCCCCAGTTTTGGATTCCAGGAGATGACGCCAATTGGACCATGTATTAATTGTTGGTGTTTTAATATGTATTCGGAGTGCCTGCTGCTCCGACAGGCTGGGCCGAATCAATGATATGCATACCTGGAGGAGGTCACACCGTCCCCAAAGGCTTATGGAGTTGCCTGTGGTTAAGTGGCAGAAATCCTCGTCTGCCCCACAAGGTTCAGTTCCTGGGCACTTACACGACTACAGCCATGGAAACACAAGGGGTAATTGTATAAATGGCCAAATGCACATCAGCGCTGAGAAAATGGCAGTGGTGTGCTTTTGAACTAAAACACATGAAAGGTGTTTTAGTTCAAAAGTGTGCCGCTGCCATTTTCTCAGTGCTGATGTGCATTTTGCCGTTAACGCAAACACATGCAATGCAGCACCGGGTGCATCAGTTTGCATGGTTCACAGACTTGATTAACTGAATCTACTCCCAAGCACTGGATTTCTAGCACGTTGGAGCACACAAGCATATGGGTATAAATGACTCAGATGTCTGGACTCGGTCTGGCCTTTGGATTCTGTCTCAAAGGTGTAAAGTGGGGTTGGGAGGTGTGGGCAGCCTCCACTCCTCCATACTCCTGCCCAGGCAGATGTGTCAAAGGTCTGGATGACCTCTTATGCACCCACCATGATCAATGGTTGCCAAATCAAAGGGCTTCTAGCCTAGAAGACTCATGAGTTCCTGAAGAGGTGCAGGACCAGAGTGGATATCTTTTATTAGACCAACTCAAATAGTTGGGAAAAAAAAATTTTTTCCAACTATTTGAGTTGGTGTAAAAAAGATATCAGATTTACCTAAAAAACCTTGCCTGCCTATGAACAAAGGGGTCTCTAGACCCACGGCAGCATTCCCCACCCCTGCCTCTTTGCTGGTGCTCTAAAGTAGGTGCATCAGCTAAGCAGCCTGCGGGGATCAAAGACTACAACTCCCGGAGCCCCCCGCGGCACCGTGACGTCCCTTGGGCAGGGCTTCCCGGGGTACCGCGCTCCTATTGGACGGCATGGGAGCTGACAGCGCAGCTACCCAATTGCATGCTCAGGTTCCAGGCGCCGGCGCGGCGCGCCTCGGCCGCTGGCCAATGAGAGGCGCCGCGGCTCGGGTGGGGGACGGAAGCCGAGCCTGGCCGGCCGCGCTGAGCTCCATGTCCCCTCTCGGCTTGCCTCCCGCCGCCTGCCATGGCCGCCCCCGGCCGCGACCCCTTCCACGCGGGCAGCGCGGACGAGGCGGACGAGGCGGTGCGCGGCACCTGCGAGGACGCCTCCATCTGCAAGCGGTACCGGGGGCGGGCCGGGCCGGGCCGGGCGTCGTGCGTGTGCCTGTACCTGTCTGTGTGCATGTGCACCCCGCGTGTGCCTATATGTGTGTGAACGTGCATAATGTGTGTGAATGCGTGCATACGTGTGTGTAGGTGTGCGTGCATGCATGCATGTGTGTGTGCATCCCTGTTGGGAGCAGACGTTCCCCTTGCCCGTGAAGCTGCTATGCTGGGTTTGCCCTGGGACAGCAGCATCCCGCACCTGACGGCAGCAGTGAAGCGAGCCCCAAGACGTTCCTGTCCACCCAGTGGCTCGCTTGGGGCGGAGCTGGCTGCCAGCAGACGCCGGGGGGGGAGCTGAGAGTACAGCCAGATTCACAAGGGGCTGGACACGGGCTTGGAGGAGAGGGACCTCAGGAGCTCTGGAGCAGGGAGCGAGTGACACGGGCTCTGTATCGGCCCTGCCTGGACCTCAGTGCTGGAGGTGGCAAGGGGGAGAGGGGCAGGGGAAATCCCTGCTCGCACCCTGGTCACTCTCCCTCTAGCCTCTGCAGTTCATGGCAGTTCTTATGTTCTTGTCCCAGATGGGCCACGTGTGTATGCGCCAATCTAATTGGGGTTTCTCAAGTAGCTAAATGCTCTTGATCCAGTGAAGCCATCCTGGGACAAGCGCTCAGACGCACTTTGCAGCATAGCGGGATAAAGTGTCAGTGCTTCATCTCCTGCATACTTTTTAGGATTGATCCTGGGACAAGGGACGTGAGCGTCCGAGCGACTGCACTTTGTCCCAGGATGAAATGGATTGTGCTGGGATAAACGTGACATCAGGATTTGTAGCCATAGCTGGTGTGTAGCATGCTGCCCTCTTCCTAGGTTGACAGCGCTTTGAACCTCCGGTCTCTTGGGGCGAGGGGGAGACTTTTCTTCCTGGGCCCAGGCCATCGGCTTCAGTGGAACCCAAAACTCTGTTTGTTTAACAAAACATTTGCAAAGCTGAGCTGGGCCTGTAGCTGGGCAGTCGTGTGGCCCACTGGGCTGTGACTCGGAGCTCTTGACCTTTCTCAGCAGTGAAAATAACAAGTGTAAGATTAATTTTGGTCTCCTGAATGCTTAGAAAAAAAGCAGCAGCACCAGGAACTGCTGAATGGGAGGAAGGCTTGAAAACAGGAGCCTTGGGCAGGAGTGCAAGAATGGGAGAATGAAGCTATGGGAAGCAAAAAGGCTGGATGAAATGTAAGGCAGGCCAAAGAGAGAGAGGGTGAGAAGAACAAATTCATCAAAAGATGCACAGAAAAGATGAAAGGGACAAATGCCCCAGGGTGGGTAAGAGCCATTTTAAAAATAAAAACTGCAAAATGGGTGCAGTAAATTGCATTCTCCAAAGTTATTGAACCGAGGAATTGGTGACAGTATTGTGCGATTACATGTAATCTGGTGCTGTATAAGTCATTTACATTGCGGGTGACCTTCCCTGATGGGAGGGGCAGGGCATGGGGGCAGAGAGATTTTCACTGTCCCAAGGTTTGGGACACATCTTTGAGTCCTTTTCTTAAAAGAAAAAAAAATTCTCCTTTCAAGTGCAAGTATGAGAGAGAGCATGCACAATGAAGAGAGTAGTAGGAATTGTCACAATAGTTTCCTCTGAAGAACCTTTTGCTGTGGTCTGTGTCCTGTCCTTGTTGTCCTTATTGCAGCGTTACACACTTATTTCTTCCTTGTTTTATGGCACCATGTAGAGCAGTCGTACTGAACCTGGGGCCTGCAGGCAATGTCCCCGCCCCAACCCTCCTCACTAACATTGTTTGGTGCCACTGGGAACTTTGCTGTCCCCATCAAACTAAAGAAACATAAAAGCAAAAAGTCATGTTGCCCACAGTGCATTATTTCCTCACTACTAGGTCAGCACAGGTTTGGGGACCAGTCGTCCGAAGGTTTTAGTACAGGCGCGGGCAAAATGCGGCCCACGGGCCACCAGCCCATTCTATCCGACCTGCGGAGCCCCTAAAACATTTAGAAAATGTAATATTTATCTGCCCCTGGCTGCCTGTCATGCAGCCCTCGATGGCCTTCCAAAACTCAGTAAGCAGCCCTCTGCCCAAAATAATTGCCCATCCCTGTTTTAGGACATGTGCAAATAGTCCACAGGTCCAGTTAGAGGATGATGTGCAATCCTGAGAATTTTAGATCTACAGCAAAACTTCATTGCTGATTGAGCCTTAAGGGGGCAGGTCTTGCTCCAGTCTCCCCCGAAGCATTTCCAAAGCAGAGAGAAGTACAAGTTACTATTTAATAGGGTGGCCACCACCATTTCTACTTGGAATGATTTCATGTAGTTTCAGGTATTCAGCAGTGTTCTAAGTTTCTCACCTGGACGTACAACAGTGAAGGAGTGGGCTGGGCACCCGTGATGATAATTTGTCTGTCTGGGTATAGTCTCATAAATTTGATGGCTGTCTTTGGTAATCCTCTCTTTTCCCCACCTTTTGTCAGATTTGCTGTCAGTGTCGGCTACTGGAAGGACCCCTACATCCAGTATTTTGTGAGACAGGCAAAAGAAAGGAAAGCACCTGAAATCAATAGAGGCAAGTTAGCATGTGAATGTCTGTATATATCTTCATTCTGTGAACATGGGGGTTTATTGAAGAGTAGCAGGAAGATTTATTGCATTATACTGGATGTCACAGCGCATGTGTAGGAAGCGTGTAATGGGTTGATATGCGTACTCTGTAGTCTTGAGACTTGCACACTGGACCTTCACTTTTGAAACATTGCATTTCAAACTGCAGTGTGTATGGGAACACTCTCATCATCTGTATTATAAACTCAGTGCAACAGCTTGATTGAAAAATAACATGCTGCCCAAAGACACCAAAACCTGGACGTGACCCATGGCTTTCAAGGACAAGGTAGTTAATTGTTTCAAGTAGAAACAGGCAGACATGACTTGAGCAGCAGCCAAAACTCATCTGCTAAGACAAAACATGATGAGAACTTCATTACACTGAAATTTGCAGCTCTTGGGTATCAACTTCCATTAATAATTGTATATCATTTTTTGGTCCTGCACATCTGGTAGGGAAATATGTTAGCCGTTCCAACCAGCTCCAGCTCAGCAGACACACAGAACATTTGCAAGGAGAACTAAGAATACAAGGGAAGGTTGACCAGCCGGTAACATTCCTGGGTACAAATGGTTATAGTTAAGAAAACAACTGGCTTGTCTTTTGCAGGGTACTACGCTCGTGTCCATGGGATCAGTCACCTGCTCAAGGCTTTTTTAAAGAAGACAGAATGTAATTGCCAAGTCATAAACCTTGGTGCTGGTATGGACACCATGTTCTGGAGGCTGAAGGTGATGGTAGATCAGAATAATGACAGTAGCTAAATGAAGATTTTTGCAGACATGTGAAGTGCTATCTTCTGACCTCCTTTCTTGTGGAGTGCTCAAACACTGCACGTTGCAGTGCAGTGCAGAGATAAAGAAGCTAGTTTGGATCCTGGAAGTTTCTTGCTGTGGTAGCATGGAGCATTGTGAGCTGACTTATCCTGCTGCCTGGGGACAGCTTGCTTCCAGAATCTGGGCCAGCAAAGGTGTCTCCTACTAGTAACACACTGGGCCTTATAAACATCCCCTAAGAAACTATTATGTTTTATTGCCCAGAAGTGCCATCTGGGGCATGTGGTGCATCTAATGTGACCTCTAGTGGTCATTCAGAAAAGTCCTAGATCTTTATTCCTTTTGGCTATCTCATCATCTGTAACAGTGGAGCCAAACCTTTTGGCAGGTGTACCACAAATTAGCCTTGCCCCCTCAGTGAGTGCCTCTTTGATTGCCTTCTGCCTGATCTGCTGCTCTGCTTTCTCCTCCCTGCCCTGTCTGCCATCATGCTGCCTGTCCCTTCCCTCATCTGCCATGTCCCCCACACACAGGCTGCCCGTGCCACTTGTAGTAAATTGGCCACTGCAGTTAAGTAACCCCATCTTACCTGTGGTTCACCACCGCAGTTAAGTAATCTCGTGGTAAGTTGACCACCGCAATTCAGTAACCCCAATGCTCTTTCCTGCCTAGAGCAGGGGTCAGACTCGATGATCTACAAAGGTCCCTTCTGACCCTAGAAATCTATGAAATGTATAACCTCTCCCTTCTCTGCTTTTATTTTACCTACTGAGAAAGATCTGGTCCTCCCTGAATTGCATCCTGACACTACTAGGAAAATGTGGGCACCTACTCCATAAATGGAAAATCAGAGAGAGTCTGGGTTGTGATTGTGGTGCAATTTTGCAGACGGTGCCACATGTTGTGGACGATTGCCCAGTTAGATCATTTAATGGCAATCTAAAATCCATGCAGCTGTCCCTGGGTTATCAAATTTAGGTATTGATCTATGAATATTGTAATCCTAAAATGTCATACAAAAGAGAGAGATTTGAGGGTCTTAAGGCAGAGCAAACAAAATGCTAAATATTACCTTCCCTAACTCTGCTTTGTCATTACTTAAGACATAGACTCATGAGCTGATGACTGGTGGTAAATGAGTGGGGATTCATAGTTTATCAGTTGTTGTTCTGCTGTAATAGTCCACTGATGTGCTCTCACCCTTTATCACAGAGCAGCTGACCTGAGGTGAAGCAGTAATTTGCAGTAACATGCTCGTGTGCCCCAACCATTAGAATCTGTCTGGGCTAGATGCAGGTATTCTGATATTACTCTGTGTAAGCACAAACTCTAGTCTTTCCAGCTCTTGTAGGAACAAAGGCTGCTTAGCAATCCTCAGAATTAAGTCTAATGAATGTAAACTGATTGCTGGAAGACAGCCTGGACTGATTAGGCTTATTTAACAAGGCCCCAAATGATTATCAAGTGAATATGCTTTGTTTAAAAAAAAAATGTATGAAGTGCTGACTAGCTGCAACTCATGCTACAGCTTTGTTGGAACAACATTTTACCAAAACTGTCTTAACAAAGAGCAAAGCCTTTAATTTTATCTTTGTTCCCTCTCTTTTCCCTTCTTCCTGTCCAATGGGCCTAGTGTAGGAGACAGGTAATGGTAGTCTTCAGTGATGGAGCAGTAATTAACACAACTCTGGTAATTTTGCATTTAGAAAGGTACAAGACTGGCAGCTCTGGAGCTGCCAAGACACCTCTGTTCACAGCAGAACTGCAGCCAAGGCAAAGGAGCTGTGCAAACTTTCCCATGCTGTCTAGTCTGGGTGCCTCAGTTTGGATCTGGAGAGACTTCATGGTAATAGGGAGCACAGACCTCTGAAACTGCCAGTCTGTGTACGGGTTGTGGAGCCGTGGCTTTCTGAGTAGTCACTTGTTGTCTAGGACTAAATCCAAGTCTTTGGGTTTTTGAGATGCAACAGGTTTGGTGCACAGTGATTGTGTCTTGGAGCTGGGGGTGGGGAAGATGAAGACACTAATACAAGATGATTGTATGAATCTCTATGCAACGCTCCTATTTGCTTCCATAGGCTAATGTTGAGTGACGTATAGTTAAGGCCATGAAGAAAACTTACCTGTTGCTGCAATGGGCTGTTGAATACTGTAGCCTGATAATGTATTGCAGAGCAGTTGCCAGTAGGATGGGGATCAAGCTGTGCCTTGGATTGCCAGATTATTTGCCTGATAAATTTGTTTTCTTTTTGTTAGAGGTTATGTTAATGTTCTCTAATTTTTAGTTCATTTATTCAATTTCTGTACATTAAAGGACAATGAACTGGAAAAAGTGATGTGACTTGGAACAAAACAATTCTGGGGAGAAATAAATTAAATTCTCCTTTGAAATATTCATATTTCCCAATGTTGTTCTTTTTATTCTAATTTCCAGGATGAAAATCTTCTTCCTAGAAAATATTTTGAAGTGGATTTCCCAACAATAGTTACAAGAAAAATATATAACATCAAGTAAGTGGGTTAGCTATATGAAGCTCAACTTATTGTTTCTACAAATACAGCAAGATGTGTTGTGTACAAGCCTCCTGTACTGATTACTATGTTTCCTCAACAAAGCTTTAGTCTGTAGGAGTTAAATTATGAAAGTGACTGGACAGCCTGAAGTCTAACTCATGTGCATTAATCAAACGAATGAAAGGCTCCTAAATTATTTCTGAATGTGTGGGAGTGAAAATTTTTTGGCTTTACCATTTCTTTCTGAAAATACTTGGAAGGAGGTGGCAAATTCCCAGGGTCATACTTGAAGGTGGTGGAGCTGGAGAGAAGAAGCAACTCATTCGTAAATTGAGGGCCATGGGGAATTTAGACAGAGTGCCTGGATTTGTCAAGAAATGGCAAGAGCTTGTATCAAGGCTTCAGAGTCGCTAGGACTCAGTGTGGGGCTTTTCTTAGTTGAACTTGTCTCTTGTCCTTTTTACTGTAGATTTGTTCTATAATTAACAGATGCAGTGGTGAAGCTAAATGCAGGTGTATCTGTTTCCAGGAGAGGGCAGTCGAGTTCTCCAGTCCTTTGAATTTGTGTGACAAAATGACAGCACCTTTAAACCAGTTAACTGCTTGCTGCTTTCCTCTCCCACAGATCAAAACCTCCCCTGTCAAAGCCAATTATGGAATCCCATTCAGGGGAGTCTCTCTTAATAGGTGAGTCATCTTGTCAGCGATGCACTGAAGCACTTCTTAAATCTCTGCACTTTGGTATGTGGGCAGACTTTTAACATTTAAAATGTTGGGGGGGGGAAAGGAGAGCTCTTTTCTTCCTCTTATCAACCTTTTTATTTGCTCCCCTGTCATGTTAGAAATGTCTTCTCTCCAAGGGGCCTTGACTTTGTTGCAGAGGGTTCCCCCCTGCCTTTATCACAATGTAATTTAATGATTATGCTTTCTTCTAATTCTTGGAAAGAGAAGAATATTGTAAGTGATCACGTGTTCAGTATCTTGCGTCAAGAATCTGTTGGCTGTTATCCCTACCTCTTTGTTTCATTAATGGCTCAGGCGTTTATCTGTAGCTGCTATCTATATTTTCACAATGCAGTCACAGTCTGCGTTGTCCATTCTCAAAGGTCAAGGCTACTCCTTGCATCCTGTGCTTGGTTTCTTCAAGTTCTGGTCTTAAGAGAGAGCTGGACTCCCTGTTTAAAAAGCCTCCCTTTCACAGCTGTTGTTCTGTTTGTGCCAAAATAACTACCTCCCTGGTAGCCTGGGCACGCTGCTTCCACAGAATGGGCTTTCCTACCTGCTCAGCAGAAAGCACACTGCTTTGGTTGGGTCTTTAGTGAAACCTGCTTCTGTGCCAGGATCACTGTTTAAAATGCATCCTTTTGCTTTTGGGTGCTGGGGCGCTGCCTGAGCCATGCCCCCAGACTCTGGAAAGGAGGAGGATGCACAGTGCTCACAGTATTCTTGCTGCATATTGACAGTCTGGCATTCTTTCACCCAAAGCTAATCTCCTTCAGCAAGAATAGCTGCATGATAACTTCACTGAAGGGATTCATCCTACAAACAGCAGTACCAGTAGTAAACTCCCTGGTAGGAACAGTTCTGTTTCCTTCTGGCTAGGAAGCACCAGACTTGGGTATGGCCATCTGCATGGCTGGACTCTGGAAAAGAGAGTGCCAACAGGTGCTTCTGTCTTCAAAGGCTGCCTGGCATTGCCAGCCAGAGATCCCTTGAGCATCTGAATTTGGATTTTGCCACAAAGCCACTGGAATGGATACTTGGTACTGGTGCATTTTAAAGGATCTTAGGCTTTAACTAACCAGCATTGTATATGTCCCTTGAAGTGTTGTGAATTTGGGTCTCGAGGGGAATAGGTAGGCCCCAACTCCCTGATGTCAACAAGCTTTTTCTGATTCTTCCAGTGAGGGGGAAGAGGTGGTGGTAGCCTGGGTTTCTTACTGATTGTGGGGTGATACTTAGGAGGGCTTCTGGCCCATCAGGTGCTACTAGAGTTTAACACGAGAAAATAGGTTGAATTGTAAATCACCCCTAAAAAAGTTAAGTGCTGGCTGATGAACTTTGTATTGTATGATGCTTGTTATTGTCAGTGCAGCATAGATTTGTACTAAGAAAGCAAGTGTAATTGCATACCCATCTTAATGTTATTGCAGTATATTGTAATCAAGATCTGTTAGCTGGTGCTAGTTACTATATAATGGCTGCTATCATTTCTATATGATTGCCAGATTGCTGTAGTTAATATGTCACTACTACATGAACTGACTCTTGGTTTGCTTCTCCAAAACAAATTTAAGTTCATCTTCTTGTTCAGTGTTGTATTTTTAGCTCTCTTGGAACAGGGGCTGTGTTTTCTAGGTTGGTTCAGCCCTTGGCATATTAAAGCCTCTGGCTGTTTCTAGTATTTAAATATTGGAACAAGCAAAGAAATCTTCGAAGAAGTCCTGGCTTAAATTGGCATCTTCTGAAATACCAACTGTCATAGAGATCCTAATGGGGCATAATGGAAGAGCATCCTCTGGGGATAGGGGAATTTTATTGTCATCTCTACTCTAACCTTTGTAGTATTGACATTCAGCACTTCTGGATAACATTTTTCATCTTAAATCAATTTGCTGCTGTTACTTCTTATACACAAATCACTCCTGAGACGTTTGCTTTAGTATCTGCCACCTGAATTAATGAAACGCCTTTTGACGGGACTCTTGTCCTACTGATGCTTTTCCTCCTACAAGAACTAAATGGCTTCAGATCTTAGGACAAGTGCTAACAAATGGATTTTTCTTGGCTTCAGGACAGCATCTGTTTCCTCTTTGCCCCTTCTAGACTGCATAGATTGCAATTGGAGTGTGGATGTCTCTGGGCTTTTTGCCCCTAAATGGAGCAAGAAGATGCTTGTTGTCAAATAGCTTCGTTTTCTTGTACTGAAATCTTACATCTTCAGGGAGGAGCTCAATGCCTTGCTGTGAATTGTATAGCAATTTGGAGCCTCTATGCTATGACATTGTGATATTTGTTCCCTTGAATGTACAGGATCCCATGAGACTTCTCTCGAAGCTTTGGATCCATGTGGTAACCTTAGAAAAAGTCATGAATGTTAGGAAGGTTGTTCTTCACCTCTTGCTGCTTTGTCAGCATTGGTAAAGTCTTGTGACGATCTCCTAACCATGCAGCTTTGTCCGTCACCCCAGCTGGTAAGCATAACTATGAAAACTGAGAAGAAATGTATTCTGGCTAAGCATGAGTGTTGCAAAGAGATAGGTGAATGCCACCTACTCTGAAACTTCACTATAACTGGATGGATGTGTGAATCTAACTCAGATTGTATGGCCCAGAAACAGTTTTTCCAGTCCCAAACATCTCAAAATTATCTGGAAATGAGAATAAAAAAGTACCCTTTATAAAAATAAATAAATAAATTGGAGGAAGCAAAAAAGCTGCTGTGGTCTGGCATTTCATAGTTTCTAGGGTCGTAAGGGACCTGAGCAGATCATCGAGTCCGACCCCCTGCCATGGCAGGAAAGAGTACTGGGGTCAAACACCCCAGCAAGGTGTACATCAAGTCTCCTCTTAAAGACTCATTTGGCAGAGGTAAGTCGATAGCTTAAAGATGAATACATATTTGTACCAGCGAGTTTGAAGCTACCAAAAAACCCCCTTACAGACAGAAATTTTTTCACTTGAAATTCCATCTGCTCTGTGTCTTTGTAGCTATAAAACCAATTCCTTCCTCTGTTTTGGTGGTTGCTTTAAGACTCCAAAACCACCATATGTTAGCTGGCGGGTCCAATTGTTGTAATGATGAAGTACAGCAAGCTAAACCCTATTAATCAGTTTGATTTACTCTTAGAAAATCACCAGTGGTGTGTAATCTGCCTCAAACAAATGCTCAGGGGTCCTCTCAGGCTTGCATTCAAGCTATGAGCTGAAGTCCTGCTTCTCAGGGAGCATTTTTGGTGAGGAGAGCTGCAGTGAAAATCACTGACCCCTGAGTCAGATCAATAAAAACCAGAGCTCAAGTGCAGTATCTGTTTCTAGGCATCCTATTTAACTTTTTGCTTTTATTTATTCTGCAGAAGTAACTTGGGGTCATACTGTGTGCAAGTGATTCAGAGAGAATGAGCTCTTCAGGGCAGGGGGCAGTCGCAACTAAAAAAAATGTTAAAGCCAATTTACCAGAACACCAACTCAGTACCAATGCAATGAAAGCTACTAATTAGGTAAAAAGTGAGGAAGGCTCCAAAGCTTGCGTGCTAATGCTTTGCGGGAAGCTATTGCGTGAAAAACTGGGGAAGTCCAATATATGTTTTAGAGTGAAATTCCTAATGAAAATGCATTAAGTAGATCAGATCCATGCTTGATTCCTCTTGGAAGGGCTCCAAGGGAAGTGTTATGCTAAGTAACAGAACTGTGAGTAATTGAGAATCCTTCTGGAAGGGGTTATGCTGTTCCCTCACATGTACCTGAGATGCTGAAATGCTGCTCTCATCGCCAAGTTAATGTAGTGATAAAAGATTTTGCTTGCAGATGAAACAAGTAACATAACATCCCTCTAAAGTGGGGGGTAATTATAATAGTAAGGGCAAGAGGCAATCAAAGGCATCTAATACTAGCGTTTAATTATAGCAGTGGCACCCATGTTTAAAATGATTGTGCTTGTACTTCCTTCCTCAAAATTACAGGGGGGATAAGTGTGGTGTGTCCACATCTAAAAAGTCTTGTGGCATGTTGTGCGCAATGAAAGGGAATATGCCCAGTATGAGGAGAGAGCTGAGGGATACCAGACCCAAAGGAAACAATCAAATAACAAACCACTTAGATGTGGGACATGCGGTTGATATCATATACTTGGATTGTAAAAAGGCCCTTGATATAGTCTCTCACCATGCTCTTATAAAGAAAACTGGGGGATTGTGGGCTGGCAGAGTCTACAGTCAGGTGGGTTGGGAACTGGCTAAGGGATTGAACCCAGAGAGTGGTAGTGGATGGGTCTATCGCCTTGGCAGGAGGTGGCCAGTGGTGTCCTGCAGGGTTTGGTTCTTGGCCCTGGGCTGTTCAACATCTTTATCAATGATTCAGATGAGGATGTGGAAAGCACACTGGCCAAGTTTGTGGATGATACTAAGTTATGGGGAAAAGCAATCATGCTAGGGGATAGGATGCAGATCCAAGCAGATCTGGATAAGCTGGAACGGTGGACAGTGGAACCAGATGCAGTTCAATAAGGATAAATGCAGAGCACTTCATCTGGGGAGAAGTAACCAGCAACATGAATATAGGTTAGGAGGAGATGTCCTGGTCAGCACAACAGCTGAAAGCGACCTTGGGGTCATGAACGATGCATCCCCCCAGCGCCTGGGGGGGCACGGTGGCAGCGGGAGCTCCCACAGATGCTGTCAGCGGTGTGGGTGGGGGAGCGGTGTGGCGAGCGGCAAGCGCCCACAGGAGCCACCGACACTGGGGTTTTTATAGGGGATGCACCGCCACACTCGGGAGCTGCATGTGCACCCCTTACGCGTCACCCCTGTTCGGGGTTATGGTTGATCACAGGATGAACATTAGCCTCCAGTGCAACAGTGTGATCAACAGAGCTAACAGCACACTGGGATGCATTAGCCGATGCATCAGGAGCAGTGCTAAGGAAGTGATACTTCCTCTGGACTCGGTGCTGGTGAGACCCCGGTTGC